TATATATATATATATTTGAAAACAATTCGACAACGAAATATTTGACGTTGTTGCGAATTGTTTGAACACAAAATAAATTGCATGCCATAATTAATTTGATTTATCTGTACGAGTTAATACAGAATAATTATAATATGCAAAGTCTCTAGTATTATTAAATTCATTTCGTCCTTTCTCGTTTTTAATGTAAATAACCTCTATTATAGTGTGGATTCTGTTTCGTTAAAGACGCACGTATTATGTACAAATTTGTATTAGATCGAAAACGTATGATCGTAGAAAGATACATTTTTGAACAATTCGTTGATCGAGAAATCGATCAAATGTGTGGTGCATCTTTAGTGCGAATTATTTGTTAATTATGTATATGCTGAGCGTGTAATTCCTCCTCGGTAACGTCACCTCTTCTGATATACTGTGGCTTTTCTTGTCCTCGTACACATCCTTCGGTTACATGGACGGACATTACATCGCTACCAGGCACTTCGAACATGGGTTCCAAAAGCAGTGATTCCATGATAGCTCGTAGTCCTCTTGCGCCTGTTTTCTTTTCCATTGCCAACGACGCTATCGCGCTTAAAGCTTCCGCGGTGAACGTCAATTCTACCTGTAAATAAACGCGCGGACGAACACGTAAATATCACGTGAATTACACATACATGTTCGAGTGAATCTACTAATTGCACGTAGTAGAACGAAACTACTGCTCTTAAATCTTTGTTGTACCTTATCCATCGAGAATAACATTTGATATTGAGGAACCATGGCATTTTGAGGCTCGGTGAGTATTCTAACGAGCATATCCCTGTCGAGGGTGTGAAACGGCACCAAGACTGGAAATCTGCCAACAAATTCAGGAATCATACCAAAATCAATTAAATCTCTCGCTTCTACTTGTTGTAACAGCGAATCCTTCTCTTTGTTGTCCTTCTCCGTAGAAGGTGACATGTTTGCAACATCTGCTAAATTCGCGGCCCTTCTGCCTGGACTCTCGGAGGATAGCGACGCACCAAATCCAAGATACTTTTCGGTTTTACGCCGCAGAATCAATCTGTCCAATCCGTTGTACGCGCCGGAAGCAACGAACAAAATGTTTGTAGTATCGACTTGCAACGTATCACCGCGCAATTTTCTAGAGCTATTTCTCTCCGGTACGTTCACGATCGTGCCCTCTAACATTTTTAACATTCCCTGTTGGACACCTTCTCCGCCAACATCCCGCAATTGATGTATGCCGGGAACAGCGCCAATTTTATCAACTTCGTCCAAGAACACGATGCCCATTTGCGCTCTGTCCACTACGTAATTAGCATCCTGAAGTAATTTTGCGATAACGCTCTCTATATCTTCGCCGACGTATCCTGCTTGTGTCAGCGTTGTGCAATCGCAAATTGCAAAAGGTACGTCCAGACATTGAGCTATCGTCTGCGCGAGTAGTGTCTTCCCACTACCAGTCGGGCCGAGTAACAAGATGTTACTTTTCTCTAGTTTCAATTGATGCTGCTTACTATCGAGGATGTCGGATCCGGAAATTGATTGATTTTCAGTTGATTTATGTTCATTCCCTGTAGGATATTGTTGGAATCCAACACCAAGCGAATTACCGATCGTTGAAATATGTAACAAATCTACGATGCAACAGAAAACGAGTATTATTCGTCGAATAAAGTATTTACGCGTAACTGGCTTAGAAACTACGATACGTAATACAAAATTACATTAGTATAAGAAAATCTATTTAGAACTGAATTAGTTATTTAATTTTTCAATCTCAGTCAGACGTGTTATATATCATGTTTCTATACTTTGGATATTATGTACAAAATGGGGAAAACTATTATTTACGTGGTTTAAGACCTCTATGAGTGAATGGATGATTCAAATCTTGTGTACCACTTGTATTAACAGAACCTTGCATTGAACTCTGCACTGGAAAGTTATTATAAATTCGTTTGTAGTGATTATAAACAGCAACGCTCAAAACTTTTTTAGCATATTCTTGACCTACAACGTGTTTGTTTAGGTACTCAAAAATCTGAAAAGCGACGTACATTAATACCTGATACAACTGTCAAGTTCTTTGTATTATTTAGGAGAAGAATATTAGCCTGCGATATCGTCACGTAAAGGGACGTACTTTTTTCGGTGGCGGTGGTGGTTTTCTATAAAATCCTTGTTTCGTGTCATCTGGTCTTAAAGCTTCTTTGAGGCTTCTTTTTGAATCTACCTCTGATAGAACGACAAAAAAATGATGGCATTTCTCGCACTTAACAAACCTCGTTGATGCTGATGAAAAAGATGTTCCTGTACTATAGTTATCTCATGCAGGGAAACATCTAAACATTTACTTACACACAAATGTTTCTACGTGCGTACAGGGATCGCCGCATTTTGGGCAAGTGAGCGTGTTTTTCTTTCCTCCGCCGTTCCCAACGGATGACACGCCGCTATTGTTGTCTTTACCAGGCGGAGTAGGTTCAGAAGGTGCTTTTCCCAAAGTATTGCCAACTGTCAGTGATCTGATAACAGCCACTCTTACGATTTTGTGAACTGAATAGAAAAAAGGAATTGCTTGTATTTGAATTGTAATACACAACAGGTGCTCAACTTGATTCAATTTCAAATGCACAGACTCTGCACTCACCATGATTTGTCACATGATTCGAAGACGCAATACGACAGGCATTGGTTAAGCAACAACGAACAGAACTCATGTTGGTCTGTTTTTCTTATGTAAAAAAAATGTGAGAAGTAAAAAGAAGTGATATCGTGCTAATTGTTGGATTCACTTGAAATGAAACCTAAATAAAAGCAAAATATATTAAGATATGACAGATGTGTGTCCCGCAAGAGGGAATTGTGCACAGATAGTATATAAGCCCGTATCCCCGTCAATTTCCAACGGCATATTGACTTTGGGAAGATTGACTTTGAAATAAAAGGAGACGTTATAAAAGGAAATATGAACTGTATATAAATTTAGGCAGTTACCTAAATAGGCACGAAATATAAGTACATTGAGAATTAGATGCCTCTTTCATCGAGCAAGAACGAAGAATAATGATTATAAAGAATAACGATGATGACAAAAAATAAAATTGTTGAAAAAGAGGCATTGATAACGAAAAACGGCATCGAAATTTTGAAAAACGAGCGATGTACGCATCGGAAAGCGAGGCACAGATGCAATGTCAAATGTAAATATAAAAATAAACAATGGCAATTTCAAGTTAACGAAAGTACTAAAATATCGAAAATACTAACCTGACGAATAAACATTAACGCACAAATCATTCGTTATTACTCATAATTTATTCGTCTCTTGCACAAAACGTATGTGGGAAGCTCGATGATCCAAAAAATGTTGTGCAAACTGGTTATCGCGGGCAGATCGGAGATAGAAATTAATCTAAAAGCGCGACCGACTGACATATCGCGTTACAATTTGCAACAATCGCTCGAGGCATGATTCAAGGTCAATCTCTTTGTTCAATCTCTTCCGAAACTTTCCGATACTACATTTATTCTTTTGAAAACTCTCGTGGAAACAATGTTTAATTTACCTCCATGTCAATGAAATATCTAAAAACCACGAGAATGTTGAGAAATTACGTGGTATGGTTTTGT